ACTGCAGGATTGAGAAAAACCGCAAGGACGTTGTTTTGGAAAGTTGAATGACTGATCTCTCCAAGCATCGTGTGATAGTCTAAGGCAGCGTTCAGACTTCACGACGGCCGCGCTCGGCGCAATCGATGCGCATGCTTTCTACTGCATCGATCGCGTCGAACGCAGGGTCCAAGCGCTGCCATCGCGAAGTCTGAACGCTGCCTAAGAACTTGCCTGCAAGTTTTAAGAACCTACACTCAAGTGACCGAACCGTGGAAATTAAAGCTTTGGGCCGACGCGGTTGAAGACTACCGAGGGTTCAGGGGCGAGAGGCATGACTTCAGCTTATCGTTACTAAGGGGACTAGGTGGAGTGCTTGCTCCCGCTCATAGCAGAACATCTGAGGGATATTTTACCGTGGATCTATCAAGTGCCTTGCCAGTATGTGCGAAGTAAACTTCGAAGACACACTCGTCGAGAGAGGTGTTTTTTGATCTCTTCATATTGTGCGAGTTTCTCTCCCCACCGGCCGTCACTTCAAAAAGTCCTAGAGTGACGTATGGGTAAGGTTAAAGCCACTTTCCATGTTCTCCCGTTTATTTATCTCTCTCTTTCGAAGTTATATAACTACTACTATTTCTATGAATTGAAATAATATGTTTTGCGAGTTTGGAAATGTGCATGCACAGACAGTTTTGGAGCATGAAAAAAGGGCAAGTAAACTAAGTAAATGATCATCTGGCGTGTGACCAGGTCTGGTTCCCGTTGTTATGATAGGTACTGATTGCCCAGTGAACGGGATTGGCACGAGTGTAACATTGTTGGAGCTAACTATGAAGTAATGCTCCCACAGTTTACGACGGCCGGTAGTGCGACCTTCTGATTCACTGCCCTTTGTAAAACAATCGAAACTCTTGCATCAATCAAGTGAGTCATCTGCAATTGAACTTGAGAAAGCGGTACTTTTCATAGGGCAAAAGAAGGCCGCACATCACAGCTGGAACGTCCTTCCTTTCAATAGAAATTTGGCATTCGGCTTTGGAGGGCGTTTTGCACTTTCGTTAGTTCCTGTTGCAGATTTTGAACCCTTGTAAGCTGCAACATGATAAAGCTGGACCACTTTAGTTACAAAAATTTACAGTCTTCCTTCACAGTCTGAGCTGTGTAGGCTTCGCTTAGTACTAGTTGTTGCCCTCACCGAGTCGAATTGCGCCCAAGATTCTTATGACTGATGATTTAGCACATGATGCTTCTCAGTTCTCGTCACCACTGATGATACCTAATAGTGTGCAATATCAAGACTTGCAGATGCATTGCGTCACAGTGGTCGTCTGAATTATATACTTCTGGACACTTTAAGATTTTTTTCGGCTTGGAGGGGCCCATTTTGTGCTTACGCTGATTTTCTCTTTTTCTTTTCTTTTGGTAGTTCCTACTGAATTACACGTCGCATTCTGGTTAGACCTGTAGACTCCGGTCATGTGTAGATGAAGCCAGCTATTGCAGCTTTACAGAAATTTACACGTATCCATGGCTAACATCGGTAATGACGGATGGGATACAAGACTTCCCCCCCGCCCAACTTCAGTCCCCCCACTAAACCGAATTGCGACGTCTCCTACTCTACAACTGACTGGGAGAGCTCGTGGTTGTTTTAGACCTGGCAACTGCACAAGTGCCTTGGTAAGGTCTGCCGAGTATGTTCTGCTCTACTCTGTCATCCTTTACTTTTATGTGGAGCAGTGCCAAACTTTGTACTTTTGCTAAGCACACAAATTTCTTGACGACCATTTGTACATTGAAAATTCAGACATGCTGCAAACGTTGTAAATGTTTTACGACGCAGTGCGCAATCTTCCTGGTGCGGAATCTTCTGGATTTTTGTACTGGTACAGTATAAAAGTTACCTATACAAGGTTTAGCTGCCCGCATTCGCACAGGTTGTACCTCTGTCGCGAGTCGACTGTCGGCTGGATAAGATCGCTAGTGATCTGCCATGAGTATCGGGTCCCACCCAAGAGTTCACTCTCCTCCCTTTTTATTTTATTTCACAATCGCTGCATAGCAGTGCGGTCTGTCTCGTCGGTGTATTCTCTCACCATTTCTTCATTGTTTCTCTTTTGCTGTTTCTCTTTCTCATTAGGTGTCTCCTCGCCGTGCATGCTCGAATCCAGCAGGGGTCGTATTTGAGGATCTCGGAGGCTTCTTTTGACTTTTCTCCACTGGTAATCCACTTACCAGGTATTCCGTTGTTTCCGAACCTTCTTCCCACGAGCTGCAAGGGTGCACTGTCTTCAAGTGCGTAGTGTTGTTGTGTATTACGAATCTGGCCGAGGTCCTTGAAGTGTGGGTGTTTGGATGGGTTCTTGAAGATTGTCTTTGTCTTCCTTGACGAACTTCGTTCCATGGTAAGCGCCACTGGAAGAAGAAAAAGACCGATTGTTGTACAGTGCTTGCGTTGCGGCTACTCTGTTCAGGCCTACCTTGTTCTTTAATCTCCCCGGTTCTTTAACCATGAGTTCGGTAAGACACTTCTAAAGTTCTGTGAGAGCTGGCGAGGATCATGAGACTGCCAGTTGAACTTAATTCGTTGTTGCCATCAACAGGAAAAATGATGGTTTGGTAGTGAGTATTCTCACAGTGAATGAAAATCGATCATTATTTTCGACAACGAAGGAAAGTTCGTGTAATTATTATTGACAGTTCGTGAAGATCGCGGCCAGTGTCAGGTATCTGCTAACTTCCGCTTGTGTGATTTTGTTCTGCTCTTGTTTACTAGCTCTTTCCCCAATTTCTTGCTTGAGAGAAATCGTGAGTGGTTATCTTCAAGCAGATCCGCTAAATTTCTTTTCGAGAGAAATCGTCGAGGTAGTTTGGCTTCAAGTGGACATGAATTTGCATCAAAAGCGCGATTTGTTGACTTATCCCTTTGCGTGAAACCGAATGGAGATTCCGCCGGCAGATCGGCTTCGGTGATTTTCCGCTGCGTTCTCGTCAATTAATGCCTCAGAAGTCTTCGCAGATGTTCCTTGCACCCTGAAGGTCGTGTAACTTTCTGTAAAGATATGCAACAGCACGAGCTTCGTTTACACTGACAAATGTGTACAAGTCTCACGAAGGTGGGACGTGTCTGAAGAACAACAGGAACCCTGCAGGCAAGGCAAAGAAGCTGGACGAAATGTCCAATACACCCCTCCTAATCAACGTCGCTCCAGTTTCTCTTAGCATGGACGTATATGGAAGCACTGGGCGCTGAGAAAAATGTGTACTCATGCGAAGGCATCAGGGTCAGCTTCCATTCTGATTGTTAGAACAGCTTCCTCAAAAGGAGACACATCTGCCTTCCGAATCTCGGGTCATATAAGGGCCAAATCACTGTTCCTCTAGTCCTCCCGCATTTCCCGGTTTTCTATGCCCCTCCCGCATCATTTATTAAATTCTTTTATTACTGTTTAGTTTCCGTCTGAGACCACGTGCGAAACGGAAACTAAGCGGTCTCCTTGAGCCACCCCTTTCAGAACTCCGTTGAAAAAGAATCTCGCAAAGGGATAATAACCACGAAGATACTAACTGAAATTAAATTGAAGTGAACAATTTTCAATCTAAAAAAGGACTAGGCTCGTTGAAGCACCTCCAAAGCGATCCTTTCAGGAGAACGCGTACTGAAACTGCGTCGCCAACGAGGTGTTGATGAGACGTCGGCTGATTCGTTTCCTGTTATTTGGTGCATCGCAGCAAAGTACGTCGCTTTTCTTTGTAACCCCTGTTCTCTCGAATTACTATGTTTTCTGGAGTGTAAGGCGTATGCGGTAGAGGGCGCACTTTCGCCTCGAGGTCTACCTACTGCGTATTTTTTGTCTGTTCTTATCTAGATGAGTGAATTGTTTTGAATAGTAATTATTTAAGGCATTCAGACTAAAATATGCGAAAAATACTAAGGAAGCTGTCACTGTGCCTACGGACTTCTGCGCCCCTTGTCGCGACTATAAAAATAAATGTGCCTCGCAAAATAGGGTACACTGAATGTCCCGAAAGTTCTGTGTCTTTTGGACGATTTTCGGCAATGACACGATCCATTTCCCTGCCAGTTTAGTTGGAGGCTTTGGGGTCCCGCAAAGTAATCGATAGGTAGAACTTCTCTACGACACCATTTTGACAACTTTCAGTTCAACTAAAGTTCGAACGAACCGTCTGGCATAGTTTTTTCTCAGTTCCACTTTCATGCGTAGGAGGAACTGGTTTTAAAGACCAGCTGATGGGCAGCTGTGATGTTTGCAGCATAGTGGGTCCGCAATTTCGAGTTTTTCTGTCTGGCAGTAAACTCGGCGCACATCTCACTTTCTTTAAAGTGTACTCCTTCCTCCTTGTTTTTCACTAGTCCTCATCATCATGCTTCACAGCAAGTGATCATATATTCTGCACTTCATTATTTCTATATTTTAGCAGTTTATTTTTTTATAATTACTACTATGATTTTTAAGAGAGATCGTAGACTGTAGTTTGCACACTTGCCGTTACTTCAATAGGGCTTTCAAAGTCGGTTCATATAGTCACAGAAGAGTACCGATAATAAACTGTTCTCGCAGAAAAATCGACCTCCTTTTAAAATCTGTAAGCGGGCTTTAATGTGAATTTCTATGGTGTAATTTTGAAATGCGATTGTTTTTCATAGTAATCTGCGAAAAAAGCTGTGAGAGGAGGCATTCAGAAGAGAGTTCCTGGGCAAAACTGGAATTTCTGAAAGGGAGAAGAGGATTTCTCCCAGAGTTCAGAGGAGAAGAAACCCCGGGTTTGATGAACGAGGTTGAGGAAAGATACTTCCATTTGCATGGCTTTAATTCCATTTTCGCATGATTTGAGTCTCTCCTCCCCCCACCCACTCGGTTCAGCTAGACAATACAAACAATTATGTGCCTTGTCAATAATAGATACATTTACTATTCAGCATCTTATCTCCCCTCAAGAAAAAACAGCACCGTTTCCTTGGGAATATGCATGATCAGGGTCGACCAGGGTACGCAGTTCTCTGACTGAATCCCGACATGCGTGGCCAGAGTGTACTAATACTGTACGTTTTAGTTTGATCTGGACTTGAAAGGATTTATGGGTGATAGTTAATGCGGAAGGGAAAAATAAGGATAAGGGGGGGGGGAGAATGAAAGCTGCCCTCCTCCTTCCCGGTCGCCGAGTTTCTCTGGGAACTTGTAGGGAAGAGGAGGTAAGGGAAGCAAAAGAGATGCGTGTGAAGTCGGAGTTTCAAGCGCAGGAGGGTCGTATTTTATACGAGCGGTCAAGTGAGATAGCGAAGCAATTTTCAGCGCTCTTCGGCTCAGAGGGGGAAGGCTGCATTTTGCGTTTTCAGTTTGTTCGTTTTGCTAGTCCTCTGTTGAATTACACAGGTCACTCCTGGTGAGACCTGTAGACTCCTGTCGAGTGTTAGAGGAGCTTCTGCTACTTCACAGCTCCACAGGAATCCGCAGATCTCCACAAGAGACATTGACAGTGACCAGGGGGTCAGTAAAATGCCCCCACCAAGCCGAAATGCGCCCAGTTTTCTTTTATATCATGACGCGCCCTTTGACCAGTGCGATACCGAATAATGTGCTGATCAATATATGATCGTTTGAATTTTGAAATCCATATATAAGCGAGAGTCTCTCCACGAATCGAAAGATCTGTCTGTGAGATGTTTCGCTGTAAGATCTCCGCATTGTCTGTTTACAAGCAAGTTTTCATGAAATTCCTCGAAGTGACAAGAACTTGTTCCTCTCCAGACAGTATATCGCAGTTTGCGGCTGCGCGGATGGCTCACTGGAAGTGGCTTGTCTGGAACGGAACAAACTTATTGGGGTCTATCAACAATCTCGCATTGGCATCGTGCATGTGCTGGTACGTCTTTTTTCATTTTTATAGGAAACCATCGTATTTACCCCGTCTTTCAACGTTATGTCTAGGTTTTTATAGAAATTTATCTACGGCAGTGGCGTTGGCTTGAATGACTTTACTTAAAATTTGTTCGCGGGAGTAAATTTGGGTGAAATTAGTTTCCGGGGTACTTTGATCCGTTGACTTGGATACAAGGTGGCTTAACAGAGATCTTTCCGAAGCGGGAGAGAATTTCATCGGTTGATGTGTGCTATAACTCTCTCTCTCCCTATCTATCTATCTATCTATCTATCTATCTATCTATCTATCTATCTATCTATCTATCTATCTATCTATCTATCTATCTATCTATCTATCTATCTCTATCTATCTATATTATCTATCTATCTATCTATCTATCTATCCTATCTATCATCTATGCTGAGTTTATCTGTGCTCCTATTATCCATCTCTCTCCCTCCCCCCTAATTGGCAGTTCCGTTAAACACAGTCCTATACAGTTAAGGTTTCAACAGTTGAAATCTGTAGCTAAGTGGTGACGACGGAAGACGGACAAGACAATCGTAATTCATAGCGTCGCCGCCCGCGATGAGTATTGCTACCATGCGCGTTCAAGGGCCATTCTGAATGTGCATGGTCTTGTTGATTTCATTGAATTCAGCGCATGATGGTTAGGACTCTGCGATCGGCAGTATCCAAATCTCCCACATGTCTAGCGCTATATTCAGACATCCAGGTCCGAAAACTTGTGCGCTACATAGCTCGCCTCACCCACCCGCATGGCATATTACGATAGCCTTGTCACACCCTGCGGATGACGTCCCACCCCTTACCAATATTATTTGGGTTTTTGTAGAAAAACTGGAAATTTTTCTGGAAAATTGCTAGAAATGGATGGTAGGAAATTCGGAAAACTTAAGAACTTGATAGTTAGGTCAGTGGGTGCGTACCATGAGAAATGAATGTAGGGGTGGCGGTTGAGAAGAGGTGGGGGTGTTTGATTCCGGTTATTTCTCCCACTGCTTTACCTGATATCACATTCATTTGACGAAAGCGCATGGAGGAAACAGTGGTGTCCTTAGCGAGGGTGTCAAACTACTTTCACTGAGAAGTTTTCAATAAACGTTCAACCCGATTTTCGGAACAGGTCCCCAATGTTCAAGTATTGCTGGAACTTCTTTTCGAATCGTAGCAATGATAGTTTCGTTACAGTATGTTGGCTCACGTTTGGTGCTGGCTCGATTGGATGGGTCCATAGAATTCTTGGAACTGTCACTGACTACAGAGAGGGTACCTCTTCCTATGTTACTCGATATAAATCTGAAAGCTTTCGCTTGGAAGGTGTACTATACCTTCAAGTCTGAATCTATTCCAACGCTTTCTTATAAATTATGTGGTGCTAATCAAATGTGATCTTTAAGCCTACTCGAGTAACGTCTATTGTGCTTCTCAACGTCATTCGTGCTCATCAGAAACCGATTTCTCACTTGGAAGCTTCATCGCTGGTAGCGGTTTCAGCCAGCTATGATCATACACTCAAGGTGTTCGACCTTCGTACCTGCCAACTACAGTCGATGCTGCATGCTCATAGTGGACCGGTGACAGCCGTGTGCATCGACCATGCTTCCAGCGTAAGGAGCTTTTGATTATTTGAGAAAATGGAGGCTTTTTCGAAAAAAAATCGTGGTTTCAGACGTTATTCTCTGGCTGTGAGCAAGGCATAATCTGCTGGTGGAATTTGACTACTGGAGAACTTCTTCGGTCGCTTGATGTCAAGTGTCTAGGTGTGGATAGCTTACGTTAATTCAGTACCCTTACAAGGACCACTAAAAACTAAGGATGTGCAGACCGGGTACAGTATCGTTGTGTGTAAGACATAGGGGGGTTGTACTTTTCGGCTGGGGAGAGGGGGTCGTATGTGCCTTTAAGAGCAATTTGCTGGGTTGGGAAAACATTTCGGCACTTGAACTATTCCTACCCCAAAAAAATTTTTTCTCGATAAAACGTTCCTATAGATGTAATTCGATGCCCTGATCACGAATATCACATTCGTTTTGAGCGCTGGCGCCATTTGGCGCCATTATGCGCCAATTTGGCGCAACCACTTTTTTCACCAAAGTCGGTGAAAACTTGTATATGGGGGTTAATCGACATCCTGATCACGAATATCACATTCGTTTTGAGCGCTGGCGCCATTTGGCGCCATTGTGCGAAAATTTGGCGCCACCAAAGTCGATGAAAACTTGCGGGGGTTTATTGAGGTTCTGATCACGAATCCGACATTTGTTTCTGGCGCTAGCGCCATTTGGTGCCATTAATGCGCCAAATTGGCGCAACCATCTCTTCCACGCGAAAATGCGTGAAAACTGTATTGGTGAGTTATTATGAAGTTCCTGACTTCCGAACATGGCATCATGACGCGAAATAGGCGCCAAGCGCTGAAAGAAGTGATTTGTGATCAGATGTCGATTCAACCCCCATATACAAGTTTTCATCGACTTTGGTGAAAAAAGTGGTGGCGCCAAATTGGCGCATAATGGCGCCAAATGGCGCCAGCGCTCAAAACGAATGTGATATTCGTGATCAGGGCATCGCACTACATTTATAGGCGAAGTTTCGGCGAGAAAAATTTTTTTTCAGTTTTTGGGGTAGGAGATTAGTTAAATAGTGCCAAATTTTCTCTTGGTTGACTTCTCGCGCGTGATTTACTGTTTCATGTGTTATATTTACGCCCCCCTCCCCCCTCTTCCGCCCCCGCTCGACAGCAAAATTTTTGGGTAAAAGGAGTGAAATTTTCTGGCAATTCCTAACGAAGTGGTAGGGAAGGGAAGACAGAGATCGAAGGAAATTCTAAGAGTGAAACTGGGAAGTGGAAAGTATTGGACCTGGTAGGTGCTGGGGAATAGGGGGGGGGGGTCGTACCGACAGTCTCATTCCCTACGTTCGAGGGGGGGGACACGATTGGCAACAACACGTTATCACACAGTACACGATGTACACCCTGTGGCAGAGAGGGGAGAGCGCGATTTTGGAAAGGAATGGCATAAAACGCAATTTGTCAGAAAAACAGTAAATAGGCAAGCTACTGCAGATATAAAGGGTGGAAAGTAACTATTTTTGTGATTCCTCACTCCTATAACCAGTTCTTCATTATTCTCCGCGATTCTACCCTCATGCTCTGTCTTGTGGCTCGCTGCACCAATAGGGTTCTGCGAAAATCTCGTTGCTTTTTGGGATTCTTTCGGGTAATGTTAGGACATAATCGATAGTTGTTACAGTTTCACTTTCTAACGCTCCACATTCATGGCAGTGTGAAGTGTTGCAGTGGCTAGTAGCTCACTTACGGCGTTAACATGGCTACGATGAGTGGAAGCCGAGCAATCTGGCTCAGCCCAGGCCAGGCGATCACTTATAACTATCGAAGACGTAAACTTGGTGTACCAGATTCGGTCTGGAGAGGATGAGAAATGACTTGTACAACCAGCTGCCCTCGCAATTCATTGTGCTAGAAGCCAGCTCGGGGATGATAGGCCAGCGCTCAATTTCGAATAGAAGTATATAAAATGCATAGCGCCGATCCCAAAAAGGAATTGATAGATTTTGCTTTATTATATTCACTTTTAACCATTAAAGGCCATTTGCAACGCCTTTTTCCATTCCAGGGAGAATACAACTAGCATGTACGACAGATTATCTGTTGGGTTATTCTTCTGAAGGCGATTTTATTCTATGGAGCAAGCGACGGAAGGTTCTTAGGCCGAATCGCTCCAACTCCACATTAGGTAAGTACCCATAAACGCTTGCACGCAATTGGTATTCTGATTCGATAAAGTGAAATCTGGTTTCGGGCTGATCAATGCTTACCATCATTATTGGTTTATCTGCTGGTGGAATCATGGGCAGGGAACACTTTGACGAGATTTTGCCTATACAGTAGCTCGTTAGGACAACTAGTGCTTGTTTTAATGTTAGGAATTCGTGACAGTGGCCTGCCTGTAGAGGTGGGAGCAGGGTACAGCATCGTTGTGTGAAATTCATAGGGAAGGGGGTGTTGCTGACTTTTTGCGATTTTTCCGGTTTTATGTGTACTATAACCTCACCCCCCCCCGTTTTCCTTCTTCTCGAGGGAAAATCTCTTGGGTGAAAAACCGGAAAATGTGGGGAAAATTGAGTAGTAGGGCTGGGGAAGAGGAGGGGGGGAGGTTCGTACCTAATATTATTTCACAAGCACACAACTGCTGAACCATGGGTTGCGAGCGCACAATCTGTAAGTTCGCTCATAGTCAACAGCGTATGTGCCTGTGAACGGTCGCAGCCTTAACCTTTTCAGTGAATTTGTTTTGCTGTGCCCGAAATTTACACGATTTCAGACAATGCTCGCGCTGGTTCCAAGGGTCTTAGTAGGCGCATCGGTGACGAATTACCGTAATCAATCATAGAATTTATCCGTTGACTGTTTTTGGATTTATGAAGCATTAAAGCGGATCATACGACAGGTAAGTCGGATTGTTGTGATTCAAATCGTTTTACTGTTTTTTTATGTTTTCGTTCGTTATAAGGCACATCCAACAAAACAATTACACAGTAAGCGGATATGGTGGAAGAAAGATGGGAAGCATGCCGTGCTGTTCCTCATTTAGCGTGCCCCTATCTTTTTGGACATAGCTAGGCTCACTCTTGAGGAGGTCCTGACGGTTATAACTTTCCGCCCACCCCTTTATCGTGTAATGTGCCTTCTCGACGCGTTATCTATGGAGGATTCCAAATGAGAAGGGCTTCAAAGCAGGTGTAGCATTGGCAGCGACCGCCCCGCCGCCCTCGGCGACCCTTCTCCACCACGACCACCTCTCCCAGGTCCCAGGTATGCTCTTGGATTTTGCTCTCAGCGCTAGGGAGAGGCGGGTAGATGCCCCAAGAGACTACTAGAAATATTAAAAGGTGGAGGTGTCAAGCAGGAGAAATCAGCAATCGGAAGATTTTTCTCGAGGCCAAACACGGCCCCTTCCTCAACAAGCGAAGCACTGCCACCCTTGATGGGCTCCCCGCAACCATGATATTGTTCGTCTTATGACGTGCACAATTTGCGATTCTTCAAGTAGCTAGTGAATTCTCGACTTACTAGGTTGATACGGAAGGGCAAGGAGCACAGGGTTGATAAAAATCGCAAGGATGAAAGCATGCAAGGACATTTCGCGCCTTCCTATTTCATGGCGGCATAAAACTGAAATGACGTTGGGCTGTCAGTAGGGGTGCAATGAGAGCCCGAGTGAGTGGCTGTTTCCGTCACTAGTTGCTCATCCAAAATGGCTCCTTGGTAGAAAAACATCTTGGGCCACAGCCCCCCCCCCCTCCCCCCACCCCCCCCCCCACACTGTGAAATCGCCCCACGTATATTTGCTACAGGAGGCACAAGGTTGAGAAATAAGTTCTAACACTTCCAATATTCATTTTCTACGCTTTGCAGTCATTGTTGAATGTGACCGAGGAAAACTTCTGTCAGAGGTTGAATCCCCTATTAGATTTATCCCAACAAAGCGCTTCATACTTCACCCTTGGATGACATAGCCAGTATCGGCTTCCGGTGTTTGTTGTTAATCTGGAATCATGTTTTTGTAGTACCTGAAGTACTCCATTCTTGCGAGCATCTAGAAGGACTGTCCGTCGATGGTCACGGGGTTTAATGGATGCAAAATTATGTGAACTCCTTTGTTGCCTTGGTTATCTAATAAACGATTGGTCCGCTAAACTGACAATTATGTAGCGAATCGTAGAGAAGTATGCCAATCGCTGGTTGTAGGCGGTCGATACGGCTCGACATTTACGTGAAGGTCAAACATTTGTTTTGCGGACAGATTCCCCCTAATATTCGTTGTTTACAAGAGTACCAATTTGTCTAGTACTCACGCCTGTTCAATCGCCTCTTCATCCACAGATCGCACTCATGTTCAGCTTAATAAGACTAGAACTGACTCGAGATGACATTATTCGCCAGGCGCTTAAAAGGTAAATGTTCTCGTTATAAGTCTATTCCCTCATGCACGTACAGGCAGGGCGCATCCTGGCTTTTTGTGAAGAATTGAAAGGAGGAAGCGAGAGGGTAAGCAATTCGTTGATTTGATGCTTCAGAATCAAACCAAGGAAATAACCTGTCGCCGGGAGATTTTGAAAAATAACGACAAATTGCCTTCCTCTAAAGTTCTCTTCTGCAGAATCTCTCCTTCCGTATTCATCTCCGTCTTCTCAGACTCTTCAAACTTTCTAGCTCTCTTTCCGAGCTTTCTGGAAAAGCTCCTACCCTTTTATCCGGAAAATTGCCGTCAGCAAAGAAGGGAGAGGGATTGCCACCACACATTTATTAAATTCCTCTGTTGAAAGTATAAAAAGACTGTACTGTGTGGCTGTTCCGTCAACTGGGAGCACCCAGTCTTATGCAATAAGTAGGATGGGAGGAGAGGGAATCCATTCAAGGTTAGAGACGCCTCTGAAAGCGATACATAACCACTTCCCTCTCTAGCTTGGTCCCCTCCGCAATCAGAGTCTCCTAACGATGGATAGGGCTAATGGAACAGCTGTCAAAAAAATTTTTACAGGCCAACTCCGACCCTCCCCCCACCCTCCCTATATATAGTAGATTTGTCGCGCCGCCAACTAGAATAGGTACACAGACAGCGTGAAAAGGGAAACTCATCGTTTGGGAAAAACTTTTCTCACTATCGACCAGATACGACTTTCGGTCCCTCTAGCGACCGACTGACCTCGCTGGGAATTTCCCACTAGCGTCTCAGGCGCACTTATCAGTAAGTT